AGGATTCTTTGGAGTGTATCGTTCATCTTCTCTGTTTGTCCATCGGTCTGTGGGTGGAATGCACTGCTATACTTGAGCGTGGTTCCGTAGGCCGTGAAGAGGTGTTTCCAGAATTGTGAGAGGAAGCGAGGATCACGGTCACTGATGATGTTCTCGGGGAGGCCCTGATGGCGATCAACATGGTCGAAGAAGAGTGTGGCGACGTCTTTGGCACTGTGCGAGGTCATGCAAGGGATGAAGTGGGCACGTTTGGTCAAGCGGTAGACAATGACGTAGATGCAATCATGTCCGCGGTCGATCTTGGGGAGGCCGCACACGAAGTCCATGGAGATGKACTGCCACCGGTGAGTTGGGATGGGCAATGATTGGAGCTTGCCGGGTTTGGCCCGGTTCGAGGGGTTGACAGCTTGACACGTGGGGCACGAGCGAATGTATGCCTTAACGTCGGCGAGTRGGGAAGGCCAGTAGAAGTAGCTGGACATGGTGTCGAAGGTTTTCTGGAAACCGAGCTGTCCTACGGTCTTGGCGTCGTGGTGCTCAGCCAACAGCTGAGTACGGAGGCCTCGTGCGTCGGGGATGCAAAGTCGGCGAGTGCCTTTGGTATCGATGTAGAGGAGATTGTTGTGAAGGGAGTAGTCGGGAACTGAGTCAAGATCGCGGAGCTTGTTGTAAATGGTSGCGAAGTCTGGGCAGGAGAGATATCCTTGGGTGTGAGTGGGCGAGTCCTTGATGGGGGGGGTCTCGGCGGTGTCGCGGGGGAAATGTTGGGACAGTACGGCTCCGATGGTGAAGTTGGAGGCGTCAGTGGTGACATAGAAATGGTGAGTGGGGTCGGCAATCTTGAGGACAAAGGCCGTGGTGATGGTTTGCTTGAGTAAGGCGAAAGCTTGTTGGCGGCGATCGTTCCAATGGAAAGGCTCGTCCTTGCGGGTGAGTTTGTGGAGAGGGTACGAGATCTCGAAAAAGTTGCGAATGAACGGGCGGTAATAGTTGGCAAGGCCAAGGAAGGAACGGAGTTGGAGGAGGGTCTTGGGTGGGGGGTACTCGACGAGGGTTGTGACCTTTGAGGGGTTCATACGGATGCCTTCAGCGGAGACAATATGGCCGAGGTATTCGACGCTCGAAATGGCAAACATACATTTGCTGAGCTTGGCGTAGAATTTTTGCTCTCGGAGGATCGCGAGGACTTGGCAGAGGTGCTGAAGGTGGAACTCGAAGGTGGGGCTGAAGACAAGGATGTCATCAAGGTAGACAACGACGCAGACTTCGAGGAGGTTGCGGAAGATGTGGTTCATGGTGGATTGGAAGGTAGCGGGGGCATTGGTGAGTCTGAATGGCATCATGAGGAACTCGTAGTGCCCGAACCAAGAGTGGAAGGCAGTCTTGTGAGTGTCCTCCTCGCGGATACGGATCTGGTGGAAGCCACTACGAAGGTCGATCTTGGTAAAGTACTTGGCTCCACGGAGACGATCAAGGAGCTCGGAAATCCGAGGTAGGGGGTACTTGTTCTTGATCGTGATCCGGTTCAAGGCGCGGTAGTCTGTACACATGCGAAGTTCCGAAGTTCCACCTTTCTTGACGAAAAGGCAGCTGGTTCCGAAGCGGGATGAACTTGGCTTAATGAACCCTTTTTCAAGGAGTTCACCGAGTTGCCGTTTCATTTGTTCGGCTTCGGGGACAGAGAGTTGGTATGGAGGGCGGCAAGGTGGAGAATGTCCGAGTTCCAAATCGATGGTATGCGATACGCCACGATCCGGAGGTAGTCCGGCGGGTAAGGACTCAGGAAAGACGTCCGTGAACTCGTCGAGGATTGAAGTGATGGCGGGGTTGGAGGGCGGGGCTTGATCGGGTTTGTCCGTCGGGAGTAAGTCCTTGGGACTTT